GAGAGGGATATCAAACTGCTCCAAGAACCTGCTGAAAACATTTTCAGTGGGAGATGAAAACATAAACTTCCAGAGGAACTCATGGAAAAGGGGATCCATAGATCCGAAGGAGAGATGCCATAGACGAGCTTCTCCCCAGGTCCAGCCTTGGGACAGAGCTTAAAAGAGGTTGGGTTCTGCTGACAACAGAGCTGAGTGTCATTTAGGAGACTCTGCTCTTGTCCTTTCAAATTCTTCCTAATAATGTGACTTCGGGCAAGTTGTTTAGTCTTAGCTCTAGAACTAAATAGTTTCATCTGTAAAGTGGGAATAACAACACTTTTCTTGCAGGGTGGCAGGGTCAGATCTTTTTGCAGGGCCTCCCAGCTCTAGGATTTTCTGTACCATTGACATAGGCCACTCAATGTAGGTCATATCTGCACCAGCCAAGGATGGGACAGGGGAGATTGTTTCCTGAAGTGAAATAGCCACTGACAAATTGATTTATTAGCGCTCTATTTAGTCATTTTGCTGGGAAGGATAGTCATTTGTTAGCGTAAGTAAAAACATGTGCCATCCGGAGAATGCGATCCATTTATATGTGCTCTGGGGAGAGTGTTTATACATACAAATGAAGGACAGGCCCTCGCTGGGAAGACAACTCCGTGAGATTTCATACACGTTTATGGCAATGTCAGCATATAAGAGGTTACTGTCAGGCATTAAATCACATCAAGACCACAGCATTGGCCATAATTTGACAGACTTGTGGTTCCTTTAGTTCAGTACCTCTCCACCAGCGGCACTGAGGGGTAGTTTTTGAGAGAGCAGAGGCTTGGCTCCAAATCCCTTTGTCCCATTAATAATCAGCTGTGCACCTAGGATCTCTGAATAGGCTAAACTTTGCTATCTGTGTTTTCAGCTTGAATGTAACTATGCTTCATGGATGGTCACTTCTAGGTGACATTGGTGCTAAATGTATCTCAACCTCCACACATTTGAGATTCTGGTCCAGGTATTCGAGGATTTGGTGAACAAGTCTATGTTCCCATCTATTCCTGTGCATTATTTTTTAGACCTTAGTAGACTTAGACTACCCCTTTGGTCTTCTTCATTGCAGAAGACGGAGTCCACAACCTGCTAGTCTCTCCTCACATTGCACCTCTCTGCTTGATACTTTAAATTTTACTGGAGGCAGTTTAATGTAGCAGAAAAACCACGGACTCTAAATACTCTGGGTTAGGGTGTTGTCTCAACTATAGATTTAACCATCTAGTTTTGGGGAATTTTATTAATTTATGAGATTATTTTGTCGTTGGTAATAAGGGGGTAGTAATGTTTCTTGCAGGACTGTTATGATGATTCAAGATATTGTATGCACTGTTCCTGTACATGGTACGTGATCAGTGAATGAGGCCATTGATAGTAATATCGATGAATGAACAGTATTCTTCAGAAGACACCGTGGAGGTGATAGGTTGCTTGTATCTCTGTGTGACCCACATTAATAAGCATGCTAGTTTGGGGCTGTCATGAAGATACCTAGTCTGAACTCTTAAAATATTAAAGTATTAGAGCCAGAAAGGACCATAGAATATCTTGAGAGTGGTGTTCCTTGGATTTTAATGTGCTGATGAACCACCCACAGATCTTGCTAAAATGCAGATTCAGTTTCAAAATGTCTAGAGTAGGGCTCGAGATGCTGCATTTCTAACAACCTCCTGATGCCATTGGTCCCAACTTAGAGTTGAAACCCTCAGGGTACTTGACAGAAGCTGTGCGATGCCTGCAACAGTGGCACTTTCTCATCCTTCCCTCTTTATGTAGCTCTGTTAGCCCGGTAGCATTGTCAGTTTTGCCCCCACCACACTCCTCTAAATCTATTCAGGTAAAGCTGGGCTTGTGCTCTATCAATAACATTGGATCTGTGAATTCACTTATTTGGCTTTATGCTTTCCTTCTTCAAAGACAGTGAGATGGAAAAACATGAACTTTGGAGCTTGACATACAGTGGGAATCCATCAATCACCAGCTGTGTAACTTTGAACAAGTCTCTTCACCTGTCTGAGTCCCAGATAGTTTGTTGGGATGATAGGAATCATGGTATCTAACCTGCAGGTGTGTGATAAGTACTACATTCAAATATGAAGAAAATGCACAACGCTTGCTCGTAGAAGGTGCTCAGACATGCAATAGATGTTCATTAAATATCTGCTGTGTGCCAGGTATATTGCTAGGGACTCTGGAGATAATAAAGACAAGCTGGCATCCCAGCTCGCAAGGATCTTCCTCTCAGGTGGCGAGGATACAGGTATTCAGACAGGTTGGGAGAGGCGTATGCTTGAGATAAGTTCAATAAAAGAGGAATAAAATACAATTGTTGTATGCATGACACCACTAAAGTTTTCAGAGTAACCATAGGGATAGTAATGAAGTAGGTGACATGGGGGTGGGTACATGATTACTTTAAACCCACATTACAATAAACTCTTGACATTTGAGAGGGATACTATTGAGAAGAATCCCTACCTTTTTGACTACCACTGCTGTACACGATGAGAATTGTGGCCTTTGAGCTGACAATAGCAAAACCTCACAGGGTTGTGGGTTCTGCCAGCACGTTAATCTCACTCACTAAACACGTGACTAACCCAGACTCATGGCACGCCGCTGCAACATAACAGATTACTGAAGTTCATGGACGCTTGGGGTCTCTGGGAGTAGTCAAAACCACAGATGTCAAATATGCAAATGCCAAGATCTGCTGTAATTAAACAGCTTAGGCCTCTTTTGAAGAAGAATGGTGTTTTAGCTGTGCCACATATTTTCCAACAAAATTAGACTGTTAAAGCTGGAAGGTGCCTGGCCGGAATGGCTCAGTGGTTGAGCATCAACCTATGAACCAGGAGGTCATGGTTTGATTCCCAGTCAGGGCACTTGCTGGGATTGCTGGCTTGATCTGCAGTGTGGGGCGTGCAGGAGGCAGTCAGACAATGATTCTCTCTCATCATTGATGTTTCTCTCTCCCCCTCTCCCTTCCTCTCTGAAATCAATACAAATATATTTAAAAAAATAAAAATAAAATATCTTGTGGGGGAAAAAAGGCTAGAAGGTGTCTGACCTCCCATTTTCACGAATGATGAGGCTGGATTTAGAGTGGGAAAGTGACTTGTCCAACAGCTATCTATGAAAGAAAGTTAGAGTTGGAAAGGAGTTTTTAAAGGGCACAGACGTAATATCTTTGGACTTTTCCATTTTATTTGAACTCATCAGAAAAATATTAGCTTTGGAAAGGATATGGAAATTCTTGGGTGGAAGATGCTCTGGAAGTACAAATCCAAGAATATTATGTGACTAACATCTTAACCAACACTAAGAATATATTATGCACTATTTTAAATCTCTTGCTTCACGTTGAGACTGTTCAGAAGGAAAATATTGAACCCATAGAAATTAAACACACACACATACAACTTTAACTTAGTGATCTCTTACTGAGAAAAGGTGACATCTTTCAGGCCCTGCTGGTAAACTGCAGACAAGACCTTGTTCCATGAAATAATGACATGTTTTCACAATGATGCAGGCCATTCTCCACCAGGGGTGTTTGCTCCCTGCCGTTTCAGCCCTTAGGGACCTTTCCACCAAAACTTTAGGAAAGTTTGGAGTGCTCTGGACACAACATAAACATTGTCCAACTTGTCTGAAACAAAGGAGGCCCCCCCTCTTTTTTCTTAGATTCAGCAGAGTGTTAGGATCTTCTCTTTCCTGCCA